CCACAGCTTCCACCAGAACCCCAACATCACTAAGGTCACCTGAGTAACTTGCCACATTCAATTCATGGGCATGATGTCATCTTTCCAATTCTGTTGCTTCTTCTCTCCAGAAAACATCATTGTTAATTTCTCTGCAACTTCAGTGCCATCCACTAACCTAACTTACATCATTTCTTGTTATCTTGGCATCTCCTAACTAAGCAACCCTCTTCTATTCCCATTCCCATCTGACCAGGTTTAAAATCCCCACAGGAAGTAAAAGGCCAGTAAAAGCAGATCCCCCTCCTCCCTCCAAAGTCATCCTACACTCACCAGTTTCAACCATTTCCTTGCCTCTAGTCTTTTTAAGACAACAGTTTTATTGAAATATAATTCATACATTTAGCCAATTATAAGTCACATTCCATCTTCCCACAACCTCTTAGCTCTTGCCCACACTATTCTTCCTTGTATCTCAGCAGATTTTCCTATTCTGGATTTCAGATGAGTGGAATGCTATAATAGGGGACTAGCATCTTTACTTGGCATATAATACTTTCAAGATTTATATATATATTGTATTGTGCATTGCTACTTTGTATAAAGCCAAGCGATTTCTCCCACATTCCCCACCCTGTGTTAAAAGATTCATTCATTTTTATTTTTATGTATATGTATTTTACCTGGATGTATGTATGGGCAATACATGCAAGATTGCTGCCTGCAGAAGTCAGAGGAACTCTAATTAACTGTTCCATATTTTTATAAGTTTAAAAATTTTTGTAATTAAAAACATAAAAGCCATGCATGGTGGTATATGTTTGCAATCCTAATACTACAGATGAGAGACTGGAGACTGGAGAATCCTAAGTTTGAAGCTAACCTGTAACAGGTAGTGAGACCCTAGCTCAACAAAAAACTCCAGATGTCTCCTTGTCCTTTGTGCTCCACTTTGAATATCACCTGACCTCCACCACTGAAGTAGGAGTAGCCTATTCTCTTCTTTCTGTGGCAGGCCAGCTTGGAGAGGCCCTGTCAGCTGTGCCGGTGAGACCATGGTACCAGCATGGCCCTTAGAAACAAATGGAGAGGGGAGATAACGGCAGAGATAAAGTTTCAAGCAGCTCAGGATGGCCTGGAATTCACTAAGTAGCCAAGGCTGCCCTTGAACTCCTGATCCTTCTGCCTCTATTTACCAAGTTCTAGAATTATAAGCCTACAGCACCATGCCTAGACTTTTAAAAAGTTTTACTTTCATTACTGTGTTTTGTGGGTTCATGGGTAATGGTGTACATGTGACGTCAGGGGACAATTCAGGGTAGTTGGTTCTCTTTTTCCATCTTTATGTGGGGTCTGGGAATTGAACTCAGGTCACCAGACTTATGCAGCAAGTGTCTTTTCCCACTAAGTTACCTCATCAACCCTGGTTTTATCAAATGAATAAAAGTATTTGTCTCATTTATTTATCATCTCTGCCTTATCTAGAGCAAACTCCAAACGGAGTGAGAGACCGTGTCTGGAGTCTAGAATCAGGTAGTCATGTAAACAATGACAGAATGAGTGGAAGGCCCAGAATGCATTGTCATTCTTCCTTCTGGATCCTTCCACACCAATTCTTCAGAATAGTGAAAAATTAGCGATCTGATTCCTGTCACTCTCTGTGTTCATATTTTCCCATTACTATACTGACCGACAGCAATCAAGATACTAAAATCACAAACACTGAATTCAACTCATGTCTATTTTTCACTCCAGAACCATTTATTTGTATCTTTCAATAGGCAAGCTTATAGAACTCGGTTTGCATTAGCAGAGTACCAGGCTGGTACCATGGTCTCAGCAGCACAGCTGACAAGCCCTCTTCAGAGCTGGACTGCCACAGAAAGATGACCTCAGCTCAGGAACTCAAGTTTACTGAACTTTAGAACTTTGTAATCAGTTATCCATTAGTGTACATACAAGTTTATGACCTACATATAATAACGCCAACCACTATTTGTATTTGCTCATCTATACTGTTCAAATAGAAAATTTTGAATTTTCCTTGCTGCTGTATAACCAAGAAATTCTGTTAAACATCAAGAATATTGGTGTAGACCTGGAGGTACAGCTCAATGGTGGAATACATGCTTACCATGCATGAAGACTTGGGCTCAGTCACCAGCAGCAACCACACACACACACACACACACACACACACACACACACACACACAAATTCTCTCAGCATAATTAATCTGTCTACTTGTAGAAAAAAATGTATACCCATGTCAAATTTAAAATTACAATACTCATTAAATGTGTAAGCTGCCAGTATGGTTAACACCTGCCTACAAGTTCAACCCTGGGGAAAGTGAAGGTTGAATGGGCTATACAAAGGGAGACCCTGTTTTTAAAACACAAAGAAGGAAAGGAAAGGAAAGGAAAGGAAAGGAAGGAAGGAAGGAAGGAAGGAAGGAAGGAAGGAAGGAAGGAAGGAAGGAGGAGAAAGGGTACAAGCAAAGGTCTCACATGGCTCTATCTAACAGACTGGTTTTCAGCAGGGTGTATACACATTAAATTTGTTACAAGAAAACTATTCCTGAAAGATGTTACAATTCTATATATGCCAGTCCAGTCTCAAACTGAAGCAATTCTCCTGCCTCAGCCTCCCAAGTATTAGAATTACAGGCATGTGCCACTATGTCTACCAAGTAATTTTTAACATTTTTTTAGAGATAGGAGCTCATGGTGCTACTTCGCTAACCTAAAACTCCTAGCTCAAGTGATCCTCCTGCCTCAGCTTTCTGAGCAGCAAGTACCATAAGCAAATACCATTATTTCCAGCTAATAACTTAAGAACTATAAAGCAATCTCTTCTACATAGATGAGTGTTATTTCAAAATAATCCTAATAAGTTTTAATATGATTACACACAGAGGATAGTGTTATGCACAAGTCACAATCGTTCTCAAATAACTTATCTTCAACTGAAGAATCAGGGTACAAAGGAAAGACAGGAAGAAAATACTGCCTATAAGGCCAGAGCAGGGCTTCTTAGAAAGGATACACTTGCCAGGGTTGGAGAGATGGCTCAGTAGTAGTTAAGAGTAGTTAAGAGCACTTTCTGCTCTTACCAAGGACCCAGGTTTGGTTCCTGGAAGCTCACTCACTATCATCTCTAACTCCAGTTTTAGGGGATCAAATGCTTTCTTCAGGCCTGTGTAGGTACCAGGACCGCACACACACGTCAATACATATAACAATTTTAAAAGATGAAGTAATTAGAAAGAAAGGAAAAGGCTTGAATTTGCCTCACACTAGTGAAGTAAGATGTAGGAGAGTGGATGAGTGGTCGGGGCTTGGCAATGACCAGAGGAAAGGGAGTGGAGAGACGCTGTGGCAGCCGTCGGCATGGGGAGCACGAGATGGCAGGAGCCACCAGTGGGGCGTGGGAGCGACATGGACCAGGTGATGGCTCACAAAGACAGAGCAGCGAAAACGAGAGCTACTGAGATGAGGGCAAGCCTAAGACACCAGAGTGAGTCCTGACAACACGGATTCACGCCTGAGGAAAGGGCAGTCCCTCATGTCTACTGTCAGGAGGCTCCTCCTGCCTATAGACAATGCTTATTCCCCACTCCTGCCTGCAACTTCCACCAACATGAAACAAGTATTGTGTAAAACGGTATAGTGATATAATATGCCAAATGATATAAAGATAGGAGCTGTGATAAAGGTCTTCACCTTTATGATTAAGGTACACATAAAAATATTACTATTCAATGTTTATCACCATATCACGCTAAATGCAAGTGACAGTGTATACTACCTTGCTTGAAGAAGTTTTTGACAAAAAAGTAATTATCATCTGTAAATTTTCTTGATCTAAATGAAAACAGTAATGTTCTATAGATAAAATTTATGGAAATAAAAGTTATTTATACCAAAAATATACAAAAGTAAATTTCCCAAAAGTAAAAATGATTATAACTAATGTTTCATCATACATACATTAATTCAGCCAATATTCATTTATCCAATATTTACTGTGTAATAAATAAAATACTATCAATTTAGTATCATTATTTTCTCTTTATGACAACCAAAGTCAGAGACATTCTGATAAAAGGTAAACATTAGCAAATATGAAACAAAGAGACAGATTCTAATATTGGCTCTAGCTTTAACACAGCAAGCAGCAGACAGATCTTACATTTGTGGAATGCTTGTCGGACATGTACACCTTTTCTTAAAACCAGACCTTTGGACATTATGAAGTTGGACAAGACTGGTTCTATTACCTCATAATTTGCAGATGAGGAAGCCAGCTCTAAGTCACAGGCTGTAAGCACAGCCCAGGTGCTCACCCTAAATCGCACCTTTCCCATTGGCCAGGCTTCCTCTCGCTACTCTTCAAACCATTTGTAAATAGATAGATGTGGAAATATTCAAGGGGTACAGCATTACACAAATGAAAGTCATACTAAATTAGGTTAGGTTTTAAGGGACTAAAGCACATTTTGTGTCACCTCTTTAAAGAAACACACATACACACAGACACACACAGACAGACACACACACACACACACACAAATTATAAGACCTTGGAAGGGGCCCTAAAATGTAAGCTTGCCTTTGGATGCAACAGAAAAGATAATCACCAGACAACTTAGCAAAATCAAAAATTTCACCCCCAAACTGAGCCTTTCCCTCTAAATCCTATGAAAAGAACACAGAAATACAGGACCGAAAAATATGCATACTTGGCCTATATTTCCTCATGCTCAGTCACAAAAATTCAAACAAAAACTTTCAGATAAAGTTGTCTTTGCTACAGCTTTGTTAGGACTAAAAGAACAAATTACCAATAATTATAATAAGTAATTGTAATAAAAGTAATAAAGAATTACTTTTCTAAAATAATTAAGTTAGAACATCAAACCATACATAATTACTGTCTTATACACACAGGCATAAACACGCACATACTCATACTTACTCAAAGTTTGGCAAGCAAAAGATCTCATTAAAAAAAATTACCTCGTCTCCGCCCATAGCTCCTGGCTGCATGTAAACACAGAAGAAAACCATGGGTATTTGTATCAAAATGGTGAATTTAGAAATGTAAAAAAAAATGTTTACACAAATGTTTCCTAAGATTCTTGAATGTTAATCTGAAGACACTGGTCACCTTCACTGCTAACACACTGGGGAAAGCCTTCATGAAGCATTAAGCCAAATCACTGTTCATAATTCTAATGGCTGTGGCAACTGCTGGGACTGAGCGTCACGAGTCTGTAAGGGATTTATTGGGTTTGCTGGGGCCTATTATCTATATCAGACATAGATAAGAGCGTCTTCTTGAGAATAATTTGTAAATCTTCATTTGAATTTTATATTACCACCAGACATCACTCACAGGAAAAATATGCTAAATAACTAAAAGTTGTGGCATACGGTGGGCATTCCAAACTTCTTACTACACACACACACACACACACACACACACACACACACACACACACACACACTTCACAAATGCCCTGAAAATGTATAGAAATTATATGTCATTAGTTCATTCTTTAAAAAATGTCTGTGAACTTTTGTAGGTATGCAAGTCTGCATGTATGTGGGCTCACATGTGTGTAAGTGTGTGTGCACATGCATATGGAGTCCGGAAGCTGACTCTTGTCCTCCTTAATTGCTCAGCCTTGTATTTACTGAGGCAAAGTCTCTTGTTGGATGGAGAGTTTGAGTCTAACTAGTCTAGCTGGCCAGCTTGCCGTGGAGATCCTGTCTCTACCCTGAGTGCTGAGATTTACAAGCATACATGCTTGGCTCCTGTGAGTCCTGGGGACTTCAGTCTTTTCCCACTCTGCTTGGCAAGGGTTTGAACCCACTGAGCCATCTCCCCAGCCTGGTTTCTGTAAAATTCCTAGTGAAGTTTCTCCTACTCCCTCCATTTATTTTCCACACCTCACCATCTATCATATCATAGAAAGGAGAAAATACTACATTTTACATCTGTAGAGATAGATCAAGGCTCTAGATCTGCCCTAGGCAGCTTATAATAACAGAATTCTAAATGTTGGCTTTCTCACAGCTTAGGCCTAGGGTTTACCAGAGCTAACCTGAGGCTTCATCTATCACCAGCTACCTACAGAGACATTCGGAATGCAAAGATTAAATTTGAAACCTTTTAAATTTGAAACCTCCAGTTCTATAAAAACAAATGAGAACTAGAACTGCATTTGATCTACTTTTGAAGCATAAAATGCCACAAAACTCATTTACACTGGAAAGGATCGAAATACAGACTCACTTGTAGCACAGGGTGATGGAAAGGGAAGAAAATGCATTCCTGAGGACTCCAGACTTTGCAGCTACATCACTGAAAGCACTCATGGGTCTCGCTGCTTTCCTATTTTCTAGCTCTGTGTCACCTCCATTTTTGTCCTCTTTACTTTCCCTTGATGAGAAAGGGTTACCTAGATCAGCTCTCCCCACCCCATTCCCCCAACCTTATTACAACCTGCAATGAACAAATCTCTTTTTATCATTGTTTCCATCATTCTACAAGGTTGTCCTGCAACACTCTATTTACATTTGAGGCTGGCCTCAAACTCTAGAGAGCTGCCTGCAGTGCTGGGATTAAGGACATATGCTGTAATGCCTATGTACCACATTTTCTCATCTATTAATGGACACTTAAGCTGGCAGCAATAAACATGGATACATAATGATCTCTGTGGAAGGCTGACTTAGAATCCTTTGAGTATATACCCAGGAGTATTACTGCTAGGTGCTAGACAATACATACAGAAGTATTAGTTTTTTAGGGACCTCCATACTGATTTCCATTTCCATTCCCACTAGCAATATATAAGAGTTTGTGCATATCTTTGTATTTGTCCTTTATTTGAGGCAGGGTTTCACTTTGTAGCCCAGGCTGTCCTCAAGCTCTTGGTGATCCTCCTACCTCTGTGCCTCCCAAGTGACAGAATTACAAGTGAGTTATCACACCAGGCTATTGTCATTTGTTTTCTTGATGATAGCCATTTTGACTGGGGTGAGATAAAAATCAAAGCAGTTGTAGTTTTGCATTTGCCATGTGGCTAACAATGCTGAACGCTTTCCCAGGTATTTATTAGTTATTTGCAGTTCTTCTTTTGAGGTGAGGCATTCCCAGTCAATACATTACCCCCATTAGTAGTTTGGATGAGGGGTTTTTGTTGTCAATTTTGTATAGATTGCAGACATCAATCCCTGCTGGATGTACAGCTGGCAAACATGTTTTTCCTATTCTATAGGCTATCTTTTCACTCTGTTGATAGTTTGTGTGGCTTTGTAAAAACTTTCTAATTTCATATGATCCCATCTGTTAATTCTTGAGATTATTTCCTATGGTTTCCCCTGCAAGTCTGTCCCATACACTGCCTATGTTTTCCTACAACAGTTTGAGAATGTCAGACCTTAAAGTCTTTGATCCATTTTGAATATACATATAGATAAGGGTCTAGTTACATTCTTCTAGATGTGGACACCCACTTTCCCAAGCACAATGCTGCCTTTTTTCCTATGTATATTCTTGACACCCTTCTCAAAGATTAGGTAACTGTAGCTATACCTGGTTGGTCTGGTTGGTGACTAGGTCTTTAGTGTTCAAACACATGTTGAACTCCCAGTCCTTCTGTCTGAGTCTACAAAGTGCTGGGATGACAATGAACAGCATTATGCCTCGCTTCCTATTTGTTCTTGTGTTTAAGACAGGGTATTATACATTAGCCCAGGCTACCCTCAAACTCATGGGCATCCTTCTGCCGTGACCTCCTGAAGTCTGAGATGACAAATATGCATCATGCTTGGCCTGAGTCTCCATTCTATTATTCTGGCTACACGTTGTTTTTGTGCCTGTACCATGCGATTTTTTAAAATATACCTCTGTAATATGGGTTGAGACAGAATACTGTGGTACCTACAGCATCATTCTGTTTATGATTAATTTCTTTTGCGCTCAGGGCAATTTCAGAATTTTTTTTCATGTTCTGGGAAAAATGCCACAGGAATTCCTACGATGACTTCATTGAGTCTGTCGATCACATTTGGTAATGCAGTCATTTTTCACAATACTGAGTCTGTCAACCCATGAGCACAGGGACTTTATGTCTTCAACTACTTCCCTCAGTGATTTCTACATTCCTCCCGTGAGGCAATGGGTGCCACAGAGCACAGGCGGAAGCGAGAGAACAACTGTGTGGAGTTGTTCTCTCTGTATGCATCCAGGGGATCAACTGAGGTCACCAGGATCACACAGCAAGAGCCTTTCCCCACAAGAGTGGTCTTGATCGCCTCAGGGGGTTCCATGTTTTAAAATAAGTTTTTATTATAGAAGTCTTGTCTTTCCTTTCCTTGGTTGGGTTTATTCTAGATTTGAGGTTTGTTTTGTTTTTTATACAGTCTCACTGTGTAGCCCTGAAACTTGCTATATAGACCAGACTGGCCTGGAACTCAGATCCTCCTGCCTCTCCTTCCTGAGTGTTGAAATTAAAGGTATGTTCCACCATGCCCTGCCCTGCCTGTTGATTTTATCCAGCTACTTCTCTTACTGTTTTATCAGCTCTGAGTTTCCTCAAGAGAGTTTTAGGATCTTTGAACTTCATTTTATTATTGTTTTATGAATATAGGGTTTCTCTGTGTATTCCCTGGCTGTCCTGGAACTCATTCTATAGACCAGTCTGTCCTGGAACTCAAAAGATCCACTACCCTTACCTACTGAGTACTGGAATTAAAGGAATTCTCCACTATACCTGGCTCCTGACCTTAATTACTAATTATCACCGTTTTTAAAAAAGTATTTAGTTTGCATGTAAATTAAGTGTTTTGCTTGCATGTGTGTGTGTGCACTACATTAACATTTGGATTTTTTGCATATTTGTCGTGTTGTATTTTATTTTATTTTGATTTTTCCAGGCAGATTTTCTCCGTGGCTTTGGAGGCTGTCCTGGAACTAGCTCTTTATAGACCAGGCTGGTCTTGAACTCACAGAAATCTGCCTGCCTCTGCCTCCCGAGTGCTGGGACTAAAGGCACGCACCACCACCTCCTGGCTCGTGTTTTATTTTAAGATGTTTAACATACACACAAAAGTCACCACAGGTCAGATTATATTCCCTCTAATCCAGTCTCAAACAAATATGCAAAAAGCAAACTTCCCTTGCTTATTGGATATGACAAAACAAGCCTGTGATCCAAGGATCTGGAGATGGCAGGATGAAGAAAGAATTCAAGATCATCCTAACTACTCAGTAACTCCCAGGACCAGTCTAGGGTATCTCAAAACAAAACAAAACAAACAAACAAAAAAAAAAACAAAGCAAGCCTTGCAAACAATTTTTATTTTTAAATTTTGAAACAGAGCCTCATGTAGCCATAGCTGGACTCAAACTCACGTAGTAGAGGAACCTAGAACTTCTGGCCCTCCTGCCTTGCCTTCATGAAACCCAGGACTACGTGCAATCAGACCCAAGGCATCTGTACTCTAGGCACCCAGTCTACCAACTGATCTACATCAGGCCAGCAAACACCATGTCTTTAATTGGCAATTGCATTTTTAAAGGATTTATTTTTTTATTTGTGTGCATGTGTGTATGCAAGTGTGTTTAAGTGCCCTCAAATGGTGGAGGCCTCAGGTCCTCCTGAAGCTAGGCAGTTCTGAGTCACCTAATTTGGTGGGTGCTAGGAATAGAAAGAACTTGGGCACTGAAAGCAAGAGCAATTTGTTTGTAACTGCTGCAATATCTCTCACCAGCCTCCAACAACTTTTTGTTTGTTTTTGGAGACAAGGTCTTACTGTGTAGCCCTGGCTTTCCTGGAAGTTATTACATAGACCAGGCTGGCCTCAAACTCAGAGGGATCACCCTGCCTCTGCCTCCAGAGAGCTAGGATTAAAGATACGTACCACCACACCTGGTTTAAACATTAAAAAAAAATCCCCATTTGAATAGGCAACACATTAAGTTCTAATTAATGAACCGGGGATGTAGCTGGTGGTAGAGTACTTCTAGC